CGAGGTGCTACTCAACAAACTCACTCAGGGCAGGCACCCCCTCTTACGGGAGCAGCCCTAGCCTTCACTGGGTGCATGGGAAGGACCAAAAGAGCCATCAGACACCGCTATTTCTGCCTGTCCTCTCCCAGCATTTTCAGGCTCTGTGGGACTTCTGCCTACCTCTGCCTCCCTGCTAACTGGACAGGAACCTGTACTCTTGCTTATCTTAGCCTCAAGATAGACATTGCCCCTGAAGACACTGACTTCCCAATCCCAGTCCAGGCTCATACTCAACAACGCGAGCTCCCTTCCTGATACCCCTGATAGTAAGTAGGCTTAGGAATGGCTTCAGGGATTGAGACTGGAGTCGCAGGCATAACCACTGCAGCCCTCACTTCCCAGTCACTTTCTAGCAAGGGCCTGTCTTATTGTAAGGCACTTCTCTATCAGGACCACTATTACCTAAGTGACTATACTTGTAACCTTATTGGTTGATCGTGGCTATGGCCCATGTTGTACCCACGTAGTTTTTGCTCTATAAAACTTCCCTGTAAGGGCTGGGGATTTAGCTCAGTGGTTCTGCCGCCTGCCTTGAAAGCACAAGGACCCAAGTTCGATCCCTGGTACCAAAAAAACCCTTCTCTGTAGAGTGGGGTCCCCAGCTACTCCTCAGGAGCTATCCTATCAATAAATATCTTCCTACTCTTGGGCTGGGAGTTTAGCTCAGTGGTTCTGCCATCTGCCTCAAAAGCGCAAGGTCCCGAGTTTGATCCCTGGTACAAAAAAAGAAAAAATCTTCCTACTCTTAACCTTCATTTTCCTAGAATTCATTCTTCGATTTTTAGAGAACATGAGCTTGGTGTGTTAGACAGCTAACAGGTTGGGAGATAGAATATTTCATATTTCATCTCCGGTAGTATTTCCTGTATCAATTCTTCCCTCATATTCTAACCAAAGGGGATAAAATTGTCCAATAAGAAACTTCTAGTATTGGAAGTAAAGGGAGGATTTCAAATTCCAGTTTTCAAAAAAAATGATGTTTAAATGGGGAACTGAGCAAATAGAGGAATCACATTTATTTTTCCCAAAGACTAGTGTTAATCTTCCGGGATGAGACTTAATTTCAGGCTAGGTTTGGGACTAGGAGCAGAAGACTGGCAGTTTAAAGTGTTAATGAGGCTTCTATCTAAGAAAAAGAAGGGAAGCTGGGGATTTAGCTCATTGGTTTGGGCACCTGCCTCACAAGCGCAAGGTCCTGAGTTTGATCCCCAGTACCAAAAGAAGGGAAAGTTGACTCTCATGTGTGGGTTAAGGAAGGTAATAAAGGAGGATTACAAATCACTCTTCTCCATATTGATTTAAAACAACCAGAATAGTAGAAAACAATGCCACATATCAGCTGAGGGAAGGAGGGGTCTGCACTCAGTGATGAAAGGTATGATCAGGGACAGGTTGTTCAAACCTTGCATGTCACCATATAACACTCCAATACTCCTGGTTAAGAAATCTTGATGGGTTGTACAGGCTGGTGCAGGATCTCTGAGCCATAAATCAAATTGTCCAGGCCCATCATCCTGTGGTGTCTAACCCCTACACCCTTCTCAGTAAAATCCCATATGAACACAAGTGGTAGATCTAAAGGACCCTTTCTGAGCCTGCTCCCTAGATCCCAAGAGCAGAGACCTCTTTGCTTTGGAATGGGAGAACCCCATTATTGGGAAGAAATAATAATACCGTTAGATGGTATTGCCCCAAGGCTAATTTATGGAAGCCCCGATTTTATTTACCCAAGTTTTAGAAACAGTGCTTGAGGAATTTCAACCTCCTTGCAGACTCAGTTGTTGCAATATGTGAATGATCTCTAGTTTCAGGGGGAAAAGAAGGACAAGGTATCAGAGGCTCTGATCAGTCTGCTAAACTTCTTAGGAGAAAAAGGGCTATGAGTCTTTAAAAGTAAGTTACAGTTTGTGGGAAAGAAAGTCAAGTACTTAGGACATTTAATCAGTGAGGGAAAGTGGTGCATCAACCCTGAAAAAATTTCAGGTACTGTGAGCCTACCCCTCTTCAAAACTAAAAGAAAACTCAGAAACCTCTTGAGGCTAACTTGTTCCTGTCACCTATGGATTGACTCATAAGCACAAAAGTCTAAGCTCTGAACTTTAAATTGTTAGAAGAAGAATCAGATCCCTTGCAATAGTCCCCAGAAGAAATACAAACAGTAGACAATCTGAAACAGACTCTCATTACAGCCCCAGTTTTAGCCCTTCCCTCATCAGAAAAGCCCTTCCATCTGTTTGCCACCGTGGATAAGGGTGCAGCCCTCAGGGTCCTAACCCAAACTGGGGGAGGAAGGAAGGAACCAATAACTTTTATCTCCAAATTTTTTGACCCTGTCTCTAGAGGGTGGCCTGAATGTGTATTGGCAGTGGCTGCTACTGCTCTGCTGGTGAAAAATAAATAAAAATTGACTTTTGGTGGGACCTTAGTGGTAAGCAGTCCACCCCAAGTTAGGACTATCTTGGACCAAAAAGCTAAAAGATGGTTAACAGACTCTTGGATACTAAAATATTATGCTATTTTGTTAGAAAGAGATGACTTGGTTCTTACAACAATTACTTCCCTAAATTCTGCAAACCTCCTAGGGAAAGAAACATCCAGGGGCCCTGGACCATGACTGCTTAGACATCATAGAGTATCAAACTAAAATTAGACCAGATCTGAGAGAGACTCTGCTCCATAAAGGGGTCAGGTTCTTTGTGGGCAGATCATCCTGGATGATAGAGGAAAAGAGACATAATGGCTACACTACAGTTGAGGGAAAGAGTCCCTAGTTGAAGGAAAGAGGTTACCCAGCAATTGGTCCACCCAGACTTGTGAATTGTATGCCTAAGACCAGCCTCTAAAGCACCTGGAGGGGCAAGATGGGGCCACTTAACTGACTCTAAATATGCTTATGGGGTGGTGCACACCTTTGAAAAAATCAGGACAGAGTGAGGCCTTATAAATGAAAAGAAAAAAATAATACAGGGGGAATTAATTAACAAGTATCAGAAAGCCTCTTGCTTCCTGAGGAAGTGGCTGTAGTTCATGTAAGTGGTCATCAGAAGACAGTTTTGAAAGCCATAGGAAATAGGACCACTAATAAAGCAGCAAAACGGCCTGTCTTGGAGAAAGAGATTGAGATATTAAGCCTGATCCCCAGCTTACCAGTTTACACTAATTCCTCAGTTCGCAAAGGAAGAAGAAAAAGTAAAAAAACCAAACAAACCAAAAAAAACCCCTCAGTCACTCAAACCAAGAGTCAAAAATGGATACTACCAGGGTCGGGGATTTAGCACAGTGGTTCTAATCCCTGCCCCGAAAAGCGCAAGGTCCTGAGTTCGATCCCCAGTACCAAAAAAATAAAATGGGTACTTCAAGTTGAAAGAGAAATGATACACAAACCTACAATGAGGGAATTAATGTTCACACTACATAAGATAAGTCACTGAGGCACCCAGGCTATGTGTGATACAGTACTAAGAAACTATGAAAAAAAAAAAAAAAAGAAAGAAACTATGGTTCCCTGTGATGAGTGTAATCATTACGTATATCTAAAATGTACCAATAAATGTTTTGCTTAAAAAAAAGAAAGAAAGAAACCATAGTTGCTTAGGGATTTACACCATTGGCAAAGGGTCTGCAGAAGCTGTGTGACAAGTCAGAAAATAAATAAGGGGTAATTAGGAAGCATGCTGCAGTAGGGAGACTTCCCTGACTAAGGCCATTTCAGAGTATTCCAGTGGACTTTACAGAAATCCCCAAGGTGAGAAGGCTCGTATATTTACTACTAATAGTTGATTACCTCTCTGGCTGGGTAGAAGCCTTCCCTCTTTCAACAGCCACTGCTGGTAATGTTGCCAAAATAATTCTAACAGATTATACCTGAATTTTGTTGGCCTAGTAGAAAACAATGGCAATCATTTCACTTCAAAGGTGCTCCTGGGGCCGGGGATTTAGCTCAGTGGTTTCGCAGCCTGTTACACAAGCGCAAGGACTGGAGTTTGATCCCCGGTACAAAAAAAAAAAAGTAAAATACTTAAATTTGGCCTGGGGATTTAGCTCAGTGTTTCCATCGCCTGCCTTGTAAGCGCAAGGTCCCGAGTTTGATCCCCGGTACCAAAATAAATAAATAAATAAATAAAATAAAATAAACAAAGGTGCTCCTGGAGATCACAGACAGTTTGAACATTAATTGGGATTCTCATATTCCATGACACTCCCCCTGCTCTGGAAAGGTAGAGAGGATGAATAAACCATTAAAAGACATATCACTAAATGAATCTTAGAGACCAAACTTCCCTGGATTAAATGTCTGCCAGCAGCACTTCTTGAGATCAGGGCTGCCCCAAGAAAGGATGTGGGGCTGTTCCTCTAAAACTGCTACATGGGGTTCCACACTTGAGTAGATCTACAGACCTCCCCACTATAAGATCCAAGGATCAATTTTTTTTTTTTTTTGTACTGGGGATTGAACTTGGGTCTTTGTGTTTGCATAGCAGGCGGCGAAACCACTGAGCTAAATCCCTGGCCAGGATCAATTTTTTAAAAATTATGCACTGGCTATCTCCTCCATTTTATCTTCCCTCAGGTTGAAAGGTCTCCTGGCCCAGACTCCACCTTGGAGTTCATCATTCATTAGTTTCAACTTGGTGACCTGGTGTTGATAAAGACCTAGAAAAAGGACAAGCTCCAGCCAAATTGAGAAGGGACTTATTAAGTGCTCCTGACTGCAATACAAACAAAAAAAGAATAGACTCACCACAGTCAAGTTAAGGGGTGGAACAAAGTCAATAGAAAGTATATAAATCACCTGAGGACCCTCTGAGGCTAAATTTTGGGGGGGTTACCAGGGATCAAACTCTGGTCCTTGCACTTACAAGTCAGGTGGCAGAACCACTGAGCTAAATCCCCGGCCCAAAGGCTAAAATTTTTAAAAAACAAAAAGGTTCAGTAATGAAGGGGACATTTCTTCATACCTGGTTTGACTGAGCAGTTTAATGTCCTATACCGCAGACCAGCTGCAGTCGATGTGCAGTCGATGTAGGGCAGGAAGGGGAAATGTCCTGGGTCGGCGATGAGAAAAGAACCTTCACAAGCAATGTTCAGGTTCCCTCTGAGAAATCTCAGGGTCTGATTTATTTTTATATCTTTAAGCAATAGCTGGGAGGCATTGGGTGGAACATGTTAAGTTGCCTTAGCAATTTTCTATTGAAGTAAAGGTTATTTTTTGCTAAACAAAGTACACTTCCTCTAAGCTGTTTCATCATGAATACATATTTAAAAATTACAATTGTCCCCTTATTTACCCACACCTAAACAGAACAGAAAGTAACTTAATCAAAATCTTTATATCAGCGGGGGTACAAGCAAGATTTAATCAACTAAGTCTCAAACTTGTGGTCACCAGCTGGCCCTTGAGAAACTGCACAATGGTTAATATAGTTTGCTATTAGCTCTCTATTTTTCTTTACCTCTATTCATCTTAACTAAATGTCATTTGGGTTCATAGTCCATGAGCAGGAGATATTTACAGCACTTTGAGAAATACTGAGTAACTTCCCTCCTTAATGCATTTACCTGTCTTAACTTTCTTTTTCCCATTTACCACTATTTCTTACAGCTAAAGTCTGTCCTTTCAATCTCTTCATAAGACCCCTTTAGTAAAAAGAACATCAGCAATAAGAGGGGGAGTCATAGTAGTGGGGGAAACGAGCGGGTTTTAGGAGAGGTTTCTTTAGGAGTGGATGTGGGAATAGAACTAAGAGAAACTGGAATTTGGGACTTGTAAGCCAGATCAGATTTCAACATATCATTGCCAATTTGCCTCATGGAGAGTTTGTTGTTAGTCACAAACACAATGACTCCTGTGATCAGAGTAACAATTTTAAACATTATGGCAAGAAAAAAAATAAAACATGAGGGTACGATGTGTTCCACCCTTTCTTTCCCCCAGCTGGAACTTTGTCAAGCAGCATCGGAGGTCAGTTGGGCTTCGCCAGTCCTACAACCAAAAAAAGACTAAAAGCTCACTTTAAAAAATATCAAAACCCTGGAAAATGGGGCAGTTACTATCCATTAGTAATAAACATAACCAGAACCTTAGAACCTCAGACTATTAAATTTGATGCCTTCAAAACATAACAAAACAAACAAACAAACAACAAAAAATGCCAGGATTTAGCTCAGTGGTTTCGTGGCCTGCTGCGAAAGCACAAGGACCCGAGTTTGATTCCTGGTACCAAAAAAAAAAAAAATTGATGCCTGTCAGGCTCTGCCCTGTGGGACTTTGGGACGCCAAAGGCAATTCTCATAGGCTGTTAAATACCTCTGCCCAGAGTTAGGATTTTTATTTTTATTTTTTTAAATTTAATTTATTTTTTTTACTGGGACTCAAATTCAGGGCCTCACACTTGCCAGGCAAGCGCTGTGCTACTGCACTACACTCCTGGCCCTAGGATTACTTTTTTTTTTTTTTTTTGGTACCAGGGATCAAACTCTGGTCCTTGCCCTTGCGAGGCAGGTGGCGGAACCACTGCTCTAAATCCCCAGCCCTATTTTTTACAGCACAAATAAGTTCACTGATAAAACAAAAAGCATTCCTAGGGACTCTTATGGGTTCAATAACAGCTTTAACCAAAAGCAGGTACTGTATTAAGAAAGCCGACAGCCACAGCATCCAATCTCTAGAGAAATGCCTCTCTTGCCCTCATTACTTTCCAGAACATCTTGCCAGGCAAGCAACCATTTTATACTCAGAGATATACTGAGAACAGAAAAAGAAAAGCCTATAGCTAACTATGATCCAAGGAATCATAGGATCATGAGGAAGGGGCCCCAGGTGCACAGTAAAAGCAGATAAATCCAATTCTGGCCACTTCCTCATACCTCCAGTGTGCTGACACTAACACTGGACTTGGTTAAACCTTAGGGACACAGAACAAGTAGGGATAGACAGGATACCTTCTCTATCCTCAGTTTCCTTTGAAGGTGGCAACTCTTCTCCCCCCCACCCCCACCCCGCTTAAATTCTTTTATTGGTACATTTTAGGTATAGAATACATTTACATTTATCATTGGGTGCTTGTCCCTGTACATGATGTACCTTGGTTCTTATTTTTTCCCCATTCCCTGTCCTCCCTTCACCCTCTCCACCCTTCCCTATTTACAAAGACTTTGTTTCCATTTTTTCCTTTTCTCGTAATTTTTCCTTTCCCTTCTTTCCTTTCCTCTTCCCCTCCCACTTCCCCTACCCCTTTGGACCTTTTCTTCCTATTTTAAATTATTAATTGATTTTAATCATTTTAATCTTTATTTACATTTTCAGTTTCTCACACCAGAGAAACTGCTTGTTATTTACATGTGTGTCCTATTTATTTCACTTAAGAGTATGGCCTCAATATGCATCCACTTAGCTACAAATGTCTCTAGTTTCTCATTCTTTATGGCTGAGTAGTACTCCATTTTTAAAAAACCACATCTTCTTTATCCAGTTTCAGGAACTACTCTTCTTCTCATTTCCAATAAAGCTCTTTTAACTTCTCCCCTTGGTTCACAACTTCATTCCTTGATGTCGTGAGACCACGAACTTGGCACATTTGACATCTAACAGGTCAGGAGTTACATTTTTCTTATATCAATAGCAAAGCCCATGGTCTTGTGGGGGGAGATGTTTCTGAGAGGGACCCAATAGGAAACCTTGCCCTCTGAATTGTAATATGCATCTGCAGGCCTACCCTCTGTTATAAGACATTGCATGCAGAGATGGGCGCACTCCTGCCTACACACAGTTCAAATCGTATTTCTTCATGTATCCTTTTTTTTTTTTGGTACTGGGGATCAAACTCAGGTCCTTGCACTTGTGCAGCAGGCGGCAAAACCACTGAGCTAAATCCCCAGCCTTTTGTTTAGTTTTTGCGACAGGATTTTTCTATGTGGTTCAGGATGGCCTTGAACTCACCATGTAGTCCCAGCTGGCCTTGAACTCTGGGTGATCCTCCTGGCTCAGACTCCCTAGTGCTGGGATTACAGTACAGGCATGCACCACCACTCCCAGCTCCATCACTATTTTTAAACAAGATGTCAGGCTGGGCATGGTGGCACACACCTGTAACCTCAGCACTTGGGAGGTTGAGGCAGGAGGATCACAGAGAGTTCGAGACCAGCCTGGGCTACACAGACAGCTCAAGGACAGCCTGAACTACATAGTGAGACCCTGTCTTGAATCAATCAATCAAACAAACAAACCAATGGTGATGAGGAGAATTTTGTACCACAGTACCCAGAAGAGTTGATGATTTTGGCTAAACTGAGCCTGTTCTTGGTAATGCTCCTCTCTGGAAGGCTTTATGTGAACAAAACAAAGCAAAGGTCTGGGGATTTAGCTCAGTGGCACCATACCTGCCTTGCAAGTGTAAGGTCCTGAGTTTGATTCCTGATACTGCAAAAAAAAAAAAAAAAAAAAAAGATACAAAGCAAAGAACAAAACAATAAAATCTTGAAGGGACATAGGAGCTTCTCCAGCAAGCAGGTGCCTGCTCTGAGTTCCTAACTAGTGTCACTGGCTAGCATGGCTCCTTGCTTTTAGTGATAATGGAAATTAAAACTAAAGCATGAATTCATAGGAAAAATCTTTAATTAGAAAAAGAAAACGCAAGAGATTTTAGCTTGAAGAGCTGACAAAAATCAGGTTGGCCCTTAACAAAAGAGAGTAAAAAAAATAGAAAAGGACTCTAGCTTGAGCAGCTGGAGGGTGCATACTCTGATAGAGGGGATCAGGCTGGCTCACCCACAAAAAAGCAGGTCAGCTTTCAGGGGAGGCGGTTTAGGATCTGGTTGATCATTCTGTCAATCCTGGTTTAGCAGCTCTGGAGGGATCTTCATGGTTTGAGGAGCAATTTTTGCCCATAAAATGATTGTTTCTATTTAGGGCAATCTCAAATCATTTGAGGCTCTGTTTATCCTTGAATTCAGATGATCACAGGTTTAGGACAAATGGGCATTCTGGTCTAGCTGAATGTTCCTCTAAACCTCTTATCCTTGGTATCCTTAATCTTAAAGGGTGATGAGACTATATAAGGCTAATCAACCTTGTTTTGCCAACTTTTACACACTCCCTAAACAACTAACATACCTATATGTAAAGCTGAGAAGGGATATGACCCAAAGTTTTATGTTAACAAGGGATACAAAGCGGTCAGGCTTTGTTCTGCTTTTAGTTATATTTGGACATCTGCAGGACCAAGTGAAGTATCGCAGTACTCAGCAAAAACTGATTTTAAATTCCTGAATGCTTCAAAAAACAGTAACAATGACAAAAAACACAAATCGCCACCCCCCTTCTTTTTTTGGTACTGGGGATCGAACTCTGGTCCTTGCGCTTGCAAGGCAGGCAATGGAACCACTGAGCTAAATCCCCAGCCTTGCCCTCCTCCTAATAAAAAGCAGATTTTTAAAAATTAAAACAAAACAAAAAAGCAGACTAGGGGCCCAAGAGTCTGCCTATTCTCTATCCCTATAGCGGTCTCTGATTAGTCACTACCAACTCAGACTTTCACACTGCTCACTCTCAACAACCCTGAAACCCCAGCCCCAACAACCACAGAGCTGTGGGGTACCCAAGGCCACCCACTGGACAGCTTTCAGTATGCTCACTGGGGCTGGCTCCTCCCAGGGAGAGGTTGAGGGGTCCCCTGCTCTAGTGTCACTGCAAACAGGGATGATGCAAGGGAGCGTTCAATGGGCTGTCGGTGAAAGGAGAAGCCAGCCAGGGAAATCAAGCGGATGGGCCTCACAAATAGCAGGTGTAAGCAGCCCAAATCTGGGACACGCTTTGGCGCGCGCTTAATCTATCTCCCAACGCCATTATGGAATACAAAACTCACACTGACAGCGTCAAGCACGTGTTGGGGGTGCTGGCGGGGGGAAGGCTCCTGAACTTAGCAGACATAGCTCTGTAGTTGGGTCCAGAGGCGCACCGTTGTGCAGGAGATTGGCTTGTGGAGAGGAGACAGACCAGACAGGCCAGCCCCTCTGTGGTGCCGGCCACTCTGTGTAGGTGTTGGCGAGGCTCCCTGCACCACGGGGTGCTTTGGGGCAGAGAGCCCTTCCACGGAAACCCAGTTACACTGCCTGCCCTGGCTTCATTTCTACAGGCTGTCTGGTCTTTCCCATGCTAGCCACTATTGGAAATTAAAGGCAAAGCGCTTTTACTTGGCTGTTTTTTTTCCAATATAATTTCACTGAATAAAGTCCTCTTCCCTGCCCATCCCTCACCTCCCTTTTGCATGTCTATTTCACCTGTCAGTTTCAGTCTGTTCTTTGTCCTGGAAAATTGGCTTAACAGGACTGATGAATCCATGTTCCTTGTGTGTACAGCCAAGGTTGTAGAGAGGCAGGGCAGTATATGAGGGAGAAGAATCAAAGGGAAAAGCTTGAAGACTTGGACAGCAGAGCTCTCTGTCCTTAGGGCAAGTCACTGGCAAGCTTGCTCCTTTAGTGATCAAGTGTCAGAAACAAGCGCAGGTTTTTATGAGAAGGCTGTGGGAGTAATTGCCAGGTCATCTCCACAGTGGAGTCAGAACCAGCCAGCTGGGAGTCCAGACTCAGGTCTAGTTGTCTCCTGTGGCCCTGAATCAGTATGTGTTGAGTCCCTCTGCAGCTCTGCTTCAGTTTCCCCAGCTATAACCTGGGGGATAATAGATTGTGGGGAAGCTGATGTAATCTTCATAATCGAGGGTCCTCAAGGAGGAAGCTCTTAGAGGGCCAAGTATTATGTTACTGTCATCACCACTGTTAGTAATAATGTCACCATCATGTGGCTCTTATTAAAGATTAGTATTGAGCCCAGTGACTGTGTTCAGCAGCAGACCAGTTGGGAGTCTTTTTCCCATGCATTCGTAGGTAGAGCTTGCTTCTACCAGCTTGGTGCCAACCTGGTGGGGCGCACTGCCATGGGAGTTGGTCTGTAATAATATGGCTGGCTGTGACCATCATAGCCAGCAGCAGTCACTAGCCTGCCCTGGTTCTGGCCCTGGCGCTCTTTTTGGCAGCCTCTGTTAGCACTGTCTTCTCAGGCACATCTGCCTTACTCTCTCTTCTGGGGCAGTCATAGTTTCTGCCCTCCTGCCAGGCTCTGTCCAGGCTGGAAAGACCTAGTTCTAGAACTCTTATTTTCAAGATTCTCAAGTTTGCCACCCCCACCCCCAGCCCCACCCCACCAACTCAGAGCCAGCTTCACATGTGGGTAAGAAAGGGAAAGAGGTATTTTTCATCAACTCTCTCCTCTCTGCTATTCTACCTTCCTGATCCCGAGGTGACTCCTCTTGACTGTTGTAGAAACATGCATAAGCCCTTCAAAGTCCAGCAGAGCCTGTGGCCCTTAGTCTGACAGAAGGGCTGGGCTGCTACGCTGCCTTCCCCAGAGGGTGTCTCTGGGACTCCAGTCCTGCAGCCCTGGGGCCAGAACACCCTCCTCCAGACCCAGACACTGCCTTCCCTCGTGTTCCCTTCTCTTTCCTCTCCTAATTGTACTTCCACTAGAATGCCAGAAGCCTGGACCCCCAAAGGCTCCTTTTTCAAAACCTCTGGAAGCAGCGGTTGAATGTGCCATAACCGTCTCCCTCTCTGGATGGCACCATCATTGAAGCTGGCATCATCGGAGTCCCTTGTTCTGTTGGTGTGCCACCTGGAAGATCCTTCTGTCCTGGACGAGAGGAATGGAAGAGCATGTTATGCTTTGAGAACAGACTGATGCACAGCAGCCATGACAACAGCTGAGATCACAAATAAATGGTGCTAAACTAAAAAAAAAAACAAAAAACAATAGTGGGTGTAAGGAGGTAGGGAAGCTGGTGTTGCCCAAATCTCCTGAGCCCAGGGAACACCTAGACTGACCATGCCATTTCTATCCCAGGAACTGCACCAGCCCCACTCCCTAAATATAATAGTCCGCCAGGGTTCTTAAGGGGCACAAAAATCTCTCAGAACTTCACTCGACAAACTTAAACCCAAACCTCGGATGGGATACGGTGGCTTTAAATCCCAAAATGAACACATTCCCAAAATGGCCGCCGAGGCAGCCCTGCCAGCGGGAGCCATGCCCCTTAAAATGGCAGCCTGGGTCTCAGGATATGCACGCATCTTGCGTCCCCTCTCTGAAGACGCCCATCGTTCATTCACTTTTCTTGATGTTCCTTTCTCTATTGCTTGGAACGGGTCTCCATATTCCCCTAGAAAAAGTTGTGCTTGCCTGCGCCAGGGTCACCGATATGGGGGTCGTTGTCTTCGCCACTCTCAAAATGGCGCCAATTTGGCTCACGCCCCGACACCCGCGCGCCGAGATGGCGGTCATATTTTGTGCGGGGCGAGCCCCTTCCGGACCACTTAAAATGGCGGCAGCCGAGGGGGCGGGGCTGCGCGCGGAGCCTGTCGGGTCGCGCGCGGTGTGCTGGGAAGGGGTGGAGCGCGGCCGCGCCGGCGCGTCGGAGCTAGAGGCAGCCACCGAGATGGTGAGCGGGTACGGGGGGAGGGGTGGCCGGGCCGGGCCGGGCCGGGGGCAGCGGGGGCGGTGGGCTCCGCGCCCTGCGAGGGGCTGCCTCCGGGCACTGACGCGGGCCGATCGCCCCCAGGATGTGTTCCTCATGATCCGGCGCCACAAGACCACCATCTTCACGGACGCCAAGGAGTCGAGCACCGTGTTCGAGCTGAAGCGCATCGTCGAGGGCATCCTCAAGCGGCCACCAGACGAGCAGAGACTGTATAAGGTTCGGCGGACGGGCGGGCGCGTCAGTGGGGTTCGAGTGGCGCCCGCCAGGGCCGTCAGGTAGCCTGAAAAGCCTTGCGGCTTGCAGTCTCGGACCCGCTCCCAGCTGGCTTCCCCGGCCGTCGTCTATGATTGGGGAAACTGTGGCTCTGCGGGGTAGTGTTCCCTAGCTGGAAGTCCTACCAGAGCTAGCATCTGAACCGGGTCGCCCATAATTCTTGGTTTGCCCGAGGTTCCTGATCCCCGGGGGTTAGGTGGGACTCCATGCAAAGAAATACACTGTCGAGGTAGGTCAGGTCCCCTCAGTGCTTCACCAGGCCATCGTGTGTCACCCACCAAGCTCTCACTCATGTTCTGGAAGATACCCCCCTCTTACAAGCCTGCTGCGGTCATTCAGTAAGGGTGGCTGGGGGATTGGGATCCTCACTGGGGAATCGGATGCATTAGGCTTTGATTCAGGTCTCCCTGCAGCATGAGGTTGTCAATAAGTACAACGACCCGATTCCAGCTGGAAAGTGGGGAAATACGCAGCTTCAAATCTGCAGGTCTTTCCTCCCTGACACCCGCTGAGGCTTCCTTCTTTTTTTTTTTTTTTTGGTACCGGGGATCGAACTCGGGTCCTTGCGCTTGCGCAGCGGGCGGCTAAACCACTGAGCTAAATCCCGGGCCCTAGGCTCCCTTCTTAATAGCCCCTCCAGCTGCCTCTGCCTGTCCCGGATGCCACATCGTGTACCAAGTGCTTTCTGCATCTTCATAGCGCTCTGAGATATCTGCCTTATGAGTTGGGAATTCCAGTAATTCTTACTTTACAGTTGGGAAATTTTGACAAAATGTTTAATCAGCTTGACCAAGGTAACAGCTGAGAATCAAATTTGGCTTGGCCTCTCTGCAGACTAGGTTGATGGCTCCTAAATTAGATTAGCCTGGAGAGTTTGGAAAAACCAGATTCCTTAAGTCCTTCCTTCCAAGGTTTTGATTTTGGAGTTCTTAGATATCGTCCTGGAATCTGTTTTTGACATACTTGGGGGTGTCACCCATCCTTGGGGCTCTTTGCCTTCTGACTTCCAGTGTAGTTGCTGGCCAGATACTATGTGGGCCGTGCCTCTCGTGGGACCTCATCGAAGACCTTTCGTCTCTCTTCAGGATGACCAGCTTCTAGATGATGGCAAAACACTGGGCGAGTGTGGCTTTACCAGCCAGACAGCAAGGCCACAGGCCCCAGCCACAGTGGGGCTGGCCTTCCGGGCAGGTAAGTCCGGGCTGGATGGCCAGCTGCGTGTCACTCCCACCCCACCAGCTTGGAGTTCCCAGCTCCACAGTGGAGTGTGACGGGCCCTGCCTCAAAAGAACGCAGCCTGAGCTCCACCACCCAAGACATTGCCTGTGGCGAGTGCTCCACAGATAGAAGTCTGCGTGCATGGTGATACTGAGGCAGTTGTACAGCATGTGAGATGATTGTACAGTTCAGGTTTCATGTAAGAGTGCCCCTTTAAGGGGGCAAGTGAGGCTGAAAACCCATCTAGTCTGCTTCCTAAGCCAGGTCAGGGCTGCATTCTCCCAGAAGTGGCCTTTAAATTTGAGCAGTTGCCCCTCAAGGCTTGGAACATTGATAGACCCATTTTGCAGATTTGAAAATGAAGGCTGAGATGACTTGTTTTTCCCATAACTCCTACCTATGGTGTTGGATGAGGTGGTGACCCTGTATTCATTACCTTTAAGGCAAGTGGTGGCTGTGATAGGTGATGTGAACTGTTTGCTTCTTCCTAAGGACTACTTTATTTGTAAAAAGGCTCTTCTAGGTACAGCTGACCAATCAGTATTAGCTTCCTAGGCCTTGACTGGATGTTGCACTATCCACCACTATTGTCTGTGCTGAAACATGAGACATACTTCTCCTTCAGCCCCAAACTGCTCAGTTAGGGAGATGACAATGTTAAATCAAGTGTGAAATGGCATTGGCTAGACTGATTACAAGACCAGTGGTGGAAGCAAGAATTGTCACTGCAAGGCTGGGGATTTGGCTGAGTGGTGCTGCTACCTGCCTCACAACCGCAAGGTCCTGAGTTTGATCTCTGGTACCAAAAAAAAAAAAAACTTGCACTGCAGATTTGTGACTTGGAAGATTAGATGATTTGAGATCAGGTAATTCCATGTGAATTGGAAGATGTTTGGCAGCATCCCTAGCCTCTTTGCTAAGTGCCAGTTCTGGCCCCCCAATTTCCTAATTATAACCAGCATACTCTCCAGATATGCCAAGCTTTGGAGAAGAGGATCATTTGAGAACTGTGAGCAGGTGGAGGAGTCATTTGGGTGGAAGAAAGTATACGTGAAAAGGAGGAAAGTGAGGTTCGTTTTATGCTAGGGCAGCAGTGGGAACTGAAGCCACTATTGGGCAGGGGATTACTTAAAGGATTACCACAGGTGATGTCAAGGCCCTGGGACAGGAGTCAGGGCACCTCCAGTTCTGTCCCCTTCCCAACAGATGACACCTTTGAGGCCCTGCGCATCGAGCCCTTCTCTAGCCCACCGGAGCTTCCAGATGTGATGAAGCCTCAGGACTCTGGAGGGAGCACCAACGAACAAGCTGTACAGTGAGGGCCCTTGGCCTGCCCCCAGAGGCCCATTGCCCCAATAAAAGATTTGGCTTTCTGCCTGGTCGCTGCCTCTTTCTCACTCCCCCCTCTCCCCAGGCATTACCTTCCCTGGGATGGGTCTGCTTCCCCACTTAACCTTTCATACCAAGCTGCTTGTTTGGTCTGAGATTTTGGCCCAGTCTGCCCTCATAGGCACCATGGTACCTGAGCTGCCCTGAAGGCCAAGCTAATTCCTCCAGAAGAGAGGACTAAGTGAACCCCTGGGCCAGCCTGGTGCTGCAGGGGACAGAAGATCCTAGTTTTTGAAAAGCACCTCCCATCCTTGTCCATGCACTCCCAGAGACCTCAATCCTGCTCAAAGTCTTCCAGGCTGAGGGGTAAAGGCCAGGATTATTGTACAGCCTCAAGCCAGTGTCTGAATTGAGAGTGGGTTCCACAAGGGAACCATATCCCTGAAGGTCCCCTGAAAGACCCTCTGGAGATCCCAAACAGCCCCAGGGACTTGTGAGGGCAAAAGATGGCTCAACACACTTAAAATAAACTGTCTACAGACCAATCCTGCATTTCTCATTTTTATTTGACAGAAAAAGTTGCTCTTGCTGTACAGATTTTAAAAAACCAAAATGCCTTTAAGAAACGTGAAGAAAAGTTGGGGGAGGGGGCCCCAACTTCACGGAGGCAGTTGGGCCAACAAAATAAATCAAACTGCCCCATCCTAGAACACCTCATATAACTTCCCGAGTACAAACCACCATCCTTGGGATCTAAGAGGCCCCACAACTCCCAAGGCCTTTCAGATTTTAGACTAGGGTATCCTGAACTGCATCCTTCCTCCACCCAACTCCTGTCCACATTCCCTCCCGCCCCAAACCCCCCAAAACACATGAACCAGGAAAAACTCACAGAGATTAACATTTCACAGGAACAAAGAAAAAAGAGTGGGAGGAAGAGTCCTCCCCCGAAAGATGCTGCCAGGATTTGGCAGGGCAGACAAGGACCCCTCCCACGGCTCTGTTGGGGAAGGGGACACTCCCTGTGGCTCCAGAGTGGGCTGCTGTAGAATTCCCCGAAATATTTATGGAGACCTGCAACAGAAAAAACAGGATCAATGTGCGTAGGGGCTCCTCCAGTCCTCAGCTTCCAGAGCTACTCCCAGCATGCCCTTCCCAACCACCAACCAGCTGAAAGGGGTCTGGTCTCCCAGGGGATGTACCTGGATGAGCGATGTCGCACAGGCTGGGGGCTAGGTGTATCCCTCCTGTGCTTGGGACCTGGAGAGTGGCTGTCCCCACACTGGCCCCTCCGGGAAACCCGTTCGCTGTTGCTGCAACACACAAAACTACCATCAGACCCCAAGGGTCTTTTGTTGCTCAAAACTTCCTTTCTATGTAAGTCACATGATGGCCAAGAAAGACCCTACCTCTGCTGGTCCCGTGGTGAGGGCTGGGGCGAGGGACGACGATGCTCCACAGGTGAGTAGCTCAGGGACCGGGAGTCGCGTAGGGAGTCTATTGGTTTCCGGGGACTTCGGGACCTGGGGAGCAGAGTAGACTCTATAGCACCACGCCCTTCTGAACCCACCAGCTAACACTCAGGACCACCCACCCAGGTCCTGACCACCAAACCTCACACCACGAAGGGCCAGCCTCAGACCCACCTTTGTCCACACTCACCCATCCGCCCGCACACCATCCACCGAGTGCCCCCAGTGGGCAGGGCCCAGGGTACAGCCGGGGATGCAAAGATAAAAGACAGTCCCTGCCCTTGAAGCTCAGTCTGGGAGTGAAGGCCAACATGGGAGGAACACAGGGCCCCATGTGTGGGAAACAGGCCCGCAGGAATGGATGTGCATTGGTCTGGGGACCCAGAGGGGTTGGGGGACATGGACAAGGCAGGGGAGGGGCAGGACAGTCTTCTCGAAGGTGCTGTTTTGAGTGGAGTCTTGCAGAACGAGGAGTTCACCAGGCGGACAAGGAAATTCCAGGCAGAAGGAACAGCATGTCCAAAGGCATGGGGCTCTCCTTAGACTGCAAGGCGCTGGGTGTGGCTGGAGCACAGGGCATGTGTGGGGGCGGGCAGAAGGACCACAGGGTGGGCAAGGCCAGCTGGTGAAGAGCCTCACACGCCATTCCCGCAGAGGTGGGGCTTTATCCTGAAGGCCACAGGGCGTCCCGGAAGGATTTGTGGAGTGGAGGGAAGTAACCAGATGTGCGTTTTAGAAAGATCCCTCTGGCTACGTGTGGAAGAGAATGGCGTGGAGGCAGGGAGACAGGGAGGAGGCTGTGGACAGAGTCGGGAGAAGATGACGGTGGCCAGACCAGAGCCCTGCAGCAGCAATGGGGAAACTTAAGAGCTAGAATCCCTGGGACCAGGTTGCATGGGGGAAGGGAGGGAAGGGAGGAAGGAAGAAACCTAGGACTTCCCAATTCCAGCTTCAGGACCCAATGGATGGTACAGCCCTTTACCAGAAGAGGGCACCATGGAGTGGTGGGGAGTGCTGAGTGCCCAACTCCTCCCCAAAAGACCAGACACCAAAGTCCAAAAGAGGCACCCCAGCAGGGACCTCATCTAGGGTCCCTGCTCTGGAGAAGTCAACTCCCACCCCCTTGCACCCCAGGCAAGGCAGCACTCACCTCCGCTCCCCAGGGGCTGACTTCTTGGGGCTTGCAGGTTTGGGTAAGGCCTGAGGGCCAGGCTTAGCAGGGGAGGGGGAGGAGGAAGAAGAAGAGGAAGAAGAAGAAGAGGAGGAAGAGGAAGAGGAAGAGGAGGAGGAGGAGGAGGAAGATGAAGAAGAGGAGGAAGAGGAAGAGGAGGAGCTGGAACTGGAGCTGCTAGAGCGTCTCTTCCGCTTGGCTGGGGCTGGCTCCTGAGGACGTCCCTCTCGAACAGCCTCCTTTGGGGCTGGGGTGGGGCTGGGGACCCTGTGGGAGAAGAGCAGTGTCACAAGGAAACAAGCCGCCCCAGCCCCAACCCTACCTTCCTTGGCCTGGAGGAACGGCAGTGGGGGAGGGGTGCCGGAGAAAGGCCTGGGAGTTCTTGGAGCCCTGGAAGGCGAGTCAATGAGCATTTCTCTGGAGAGCAGTGGCCTGAGATGACCAGACCTCTGCTAACACAAGCAACAGGCTGGGGCCCGCAGCACAAGGGATCAAGGTTAAACCTCAAGAATGTCCCTGATGGAAGAATAAGGCCTCTGGGCTCAGATGTGGAAGTTGAAGCTGGGTGGTCTCCTTCCTTGGAGAGCCGCAGCTTGGGGAGGCCCCTGTGAGTGCAGGTTGGCTGGGGAGGGGCCGTCCTGCCTGGAGGCAGGGAGAGGGATGGGATGACCTCTGAAGATCCTTCCAGCCCAGGGAGTTCCTCTTGAGGTCTAACTGCCATCCCTCCTGCTGTAAAATTAAGTCCATTTCCTCTAGTTCTGTCCTCTGTAGAGACGGAAAACTTATCATTATCCTCTAGAGAATTAATCTTTGGAGACTTTCACCTGTCCCATCCCTTCCCCACATAACCCCCACCCCAGCATTCTCTTCTACCCCCAGCTTGAGGGGCAAGGTCCCCCACACCTCCTCAAAGAGCCAAGAACCTGTGACATGATTCCTCCCTCCCCACTCCCTTATATATCCAACACCTTCCCCCTAGAAATTTCCTCAAAATCAAATCCCCTCACCTTTTCAGTGCCACCTCAGGTTGAGCAGGAAGGCTAGAGCCTTCCGAGTCGCTAGAACTGGAGCCAGAGGACGACGAAGAGGAGGATGACGACGATGACGAGGAGCTGCTGCTAGAGGACGAGGAGGACGAGGAACTCCGCCGCTCCTTTGCAGGCTGCAAGGCAGCCAATGCAGAAGGCTGCTGTGCCCCAGTAGAGGCAGATGGCTCCCCACCCTCAGAGTGAGACACCCCAGGGACAGAGCCAGAGAGCATGCCATTGTGATCACCAGCAGAGGATGAGGTCTTTATCGTCCCAGAGGAAAGGGACTGAGACCCTGCTCCAGGGGCAGACTGGGCCACTGAAGCACGGGATTGGTCTGGAAAAGCAGATGGCACTGGGGACCTAGGTTGATCCTGTGCTTGGGGAAGAGACTGTGAAGGACCCTGAACCGTTCTTGAGGCAGGGGAGGGGGCCCGCTCAGAGGTTACCCTAGACTGGCTTGGGGCAGATGGTGGTGTTCTGGACCTGGCTCTATCGAGAAGTGGGGGTGAAGTTCTGCCACTAACACGTTCATAAGCAGAGAGGGGTACCCTGGGGCTAGTGAGGTTTGCACCAGACAATGCTGGAGCCACCCTAGCACTAGTGAGACTTGCAGGGGTCAAGGCTGCAGGTGTTCTGGAGCTGGCAATATTCACAGAAGCTGCAGCATGTGCAGATCGAGGACCCACCAGGTTTGCAGAGGCTGGAGCCTGAGGTGTTCTGGAGCTGGCAGGGTAATTTGCAGCATTTGGAGGTGTGCCAGAGCCTGAGAGACTCAAAGCTGCCAAGGCAGCCGGGGTTCTGGCTCCTGCTAGGTTCACAGCTGGGGCTGTAGGGGTTCGAGGGTCAGCAAGGTTCACGGCTGAAGGTGCCACTGCTGTTCTGGGACTGGCCAAGTTCATGGCTGCTGATGCAGCTGGTGCCCTGGAGTCAGCCAGGTTCACTGCTGTTGAGATGGCAGGTGTTCTGGCACTGGCTAGGTTCATGGCGGCTGCAGAGGCTGCAGGAATCCGGCTAGCAAGGTTGGCAGCTGGGGCTGTTCTGAGACTCATGAGAGGCACTGGAGCTGGAACCTGGGACATTCTTGCAGCAAGGCCAGCAGCAGACATGGATGGGGGTGGCCGGGCAGTGCCAAGACTGATGGCAGTCAGGGCAAGTGCAATTCTAGACTGAGCATGATTTTCTGGCACAGATGTTCTTGGATGATCAGGTATTCGGGGACCTGGACCATCCATCATGGAACCACTGGCCTGCTGCAGAACAGACATGGGTGTTCTAGCACTGCCAAGGGGTTCAAGCATTCCAGGTGATCTACATCGGTCAAGAGGAGTTGGTGACATGCTAGGACGACTGAAGCAGCTCATTCTGGAACTATTGAG